GTGGAAGAATGAAAAGTTTGAATGGGAAAAGAATTAGCACACCTAAATGCAATGCCCTACCTACCAAGTCAAGCTACAACAGGTAATTTTATATGCTTAGATGTTCTTCTCTGGGCAAGCTCTGCACGGTGTCCGACCATCGTCCCGGTGAATGATTGCTACTGTTTGACGATACATGAGCTTCAGCCCTCACATCTCTTATCATCTTCAAAACCTCCCTCATCGCAGGCCGATTATCTGGTGCAATCGCAACACAAGCCATTGCTATGTTCAAGAGAGCTTGAAGCTTCCCTTCAGATGCTTCATTACCCGAGCTGGGCTCATCGCCGGACTCAGTCTCTCCTTCTCGGACCGATCTTACCAAGTAGGAATATCAGAACCGTGTTCTTGAACAAGGTCCTGGAAAGGAGTTCTGCCTGTTAAAAGCTCCAGGAGAAGAACACCAAAGCTGTAAACATCAGCCGGTTGAGTTGGCGACTTCCGGATGTCCCTGCATTCGGGTGCCCTGTAGAAAAATGTAGCAGCACCAGGTTTTTCCACCAGGTCCAGATCCCGGAATACGGTGAGACCATAATCTGTGAGGCAAGATTCGAAATCAGGACCTAATAATACATTAGAGGATTTCAAATTCCCGTGAGTTAAGCCCGGATTTTGGTGAATATAAAGCAATCCAGTAGCCAAGTCCTACGCTATTTTCAGACATGATGTCCAATGAAGAGGCTTTCCACCACCACAAGTTCTCGTTCCTACAGAGAAATCCAAAAGAAAATAGGTTAAAACTCGAGGGGTGCAATGTTAAAACTCTAATTTCGAAACTTTTGAACCGAAGAACGGATTGAGCTTCGACACTTTCAGAACCAAACACAATCTATGTTACCGGAACATACCAAAACATATTCGAACATGAGTACGAAAGTATAGTTCTTTAAATGTAAAACGTCAAAAACACATACTACCCGATACTCGTTCTAGTGCAAATAATGTACAATGGGAGCAACTGACAACAATAACATGCTGGGTGGTCAGGCTTGGTGAGTTGTCATATTACAGCAACTCACCTTTATAGAAACTCGGCTTTGTTACACAAATCACCCTGAATTGTCGTTGTTTACCTAAATCTTTACGATGATGATTGATAGAGAAATATTATATATATATATATATATCATATTTCCAGATTAAACAATTCCCTAATGAACTTTAACTGAGTTTATAACTTCGAGTTAAACTCGTATTTCTTATTAAATTCGATTCGACTCACAAATGCAAACACAAAACGGAAATAATCAAATAAATGAAATTCGAGACTGTGTCACCGACATACCGTGAATGAGAGAATAGAGGCTTCCGTTGGGGAAATAATCGTATACGATCAAGCGTTCCTCTTTTGCTTGGAAATAAGCTCTAAGTGGGACCAAATTGGGGTGTCTGAGCCGTCCGATCAGTTCGACGTGTCTCTTGAACTCCTCTAATCTCGGGTACCTTGTGTCTTTCAACCTTTTAACGGTCACTATGAACCCGGATTCCATCACGGCCTTGTACGTACTCCCCATCGTACCCCTCCCCAACGTCTCCGCCGATGCCTTCAACAGATCTTCTAAGCTGTAATTCATTTGCTGACCGCCTGTGCCTAAGAACACCAAACTCCCTAGACCCTCACTCTCCCAAAACCCCCCTTGTTTCCCACTACTACTACTTCCCATGCCACCACTCCCTCCGCCGCCGCCGCCTCCACCGCCCACCTCCTCCCCTACATTAGCAACCCCTTTGCCTTTAACATCATTTCCCTTGCCCTTTCCACTCCTTTTGCTAACAAAACACCCCAAAAAAACACAAACAAGTAGCAGTGAAAACCCACCCACAACGCTTCCTATTATAATCTTGATCAACCTGGAATGCTTTTTCGATGTAGGGTGAACCGGGCTCATCGCCGTCCCGACATCGGCCACCCGACATGGGTTTTCAATCTGTTCGCCGCAAAGATCAATATTACCCGAAAACGAAGAAATGTTGAACCGAACCAGAGATGGGGTCACAGGGATTTGACCATGGAGTTGGTTGTTCGAAACGTTGAAGAATCTAAGACCGGTTTGGATCAAAGCCGGGATCGTACCTTTGAGTTCATTGTCTTGTAAATAAAGAGTGTACAATCGTTTGAGTTTGAGTAAAGAAGCCGGAATCTGACCGGTGATTCTATTTCCCGACAAAACAATAGTTTTCAACCGATGTAAGCTCGTAATTGATTCTGGGAAGTCACCGGTGAAGTTGTTTTCGTTGAGAAAAAGTAATTTCAGATTGCCTAGGCCGGGAAGGTCGGGGATTTGGCCGGAAATGGAGTTGCTTTTGAAACTCAGGACCCGAAGTTGATCCAACCGGTTCAAGCTCTGTCCATCTAAAGAACCAGACAAGTTCAAGTGTTCTAAAACAAGCTTTGTAACTCTCCCATTCAAGCACTCCTTGATTCCTCTCCATGCACAAACATTGGTTCCTTTCCATGGCAATGAGTTGAAAGGATCAACGAATGATTTCAGTGCCAAAAGTGCCTCTGCATCACCTGATCTAACATGTGGAATAAGAGAAAGGAGAATGGTGAAGATGAAGAAGGTAAGAAAGCAGTACCTTGAAACAAAAGGTTCCATTTTTCTGTGATCTTCAAAAATAAAATACCCTTTTCAAATCATCGTATTTAAAACAATGTAAAACCCCTGATCCGAATCGATTTAAATTGCTTTCACAGCCCCAACTTCAGATCTGTCATTGTTTCAGCGCACAAGAAACTCGTCGACTCAGTGAAATGACATTGGCATTTATGGTGAACGAGGAAGGGGAGCGGCTCGCAATGGCGAAGTAGGTTTTTGTGCTGAGGCATCTCATCTCGAACTCGTTACTCGCAATACTCACGGACAACTCAGCGTAAACTTCACGTGAAATCTCAGAACTCGCAGACCCATAATATTATACTTATATAATTTATGTATATATTGCACCCATGGATTGTATTATATTCCTGAGAGACCCAAATTTCTAAATTATTTTGGGCTGTTCAAATTCTCCTGATTGTTTGTTGAATGATACATAGCCTTTTCAAACCCTAAAATTCTGAAGCTTCGAGCTTTTTGAAGTTCGAAAGATGGGATTTTTCTCTCTCACCGAGTCAAAAATCCAATTTTTCTTTAAAAAAGAGTACCGAGATTACTATGAAGAAGAAAAACAAATACAGGTAAGGAGTTCGGTGGTAGAGACTAGAGAGAACAGATCTAACCGTGTTGAATGTAATAACTCGAGAGACGGACGCTGAGTTTCTGAGCAGACTCAGTAAATGGGTAAAGGAATTGGAAGCAAAGAAGAGAGTAATGATGTTGAGTAGGGGCGTAAACGAGTTACTCGAAAATTTGAAACAGAGCTCGTTTCGGTTCGAAATTCGTGACTTTAAAATTTTTAAATTTAACTCGAACTCGAAATTCTGAACTAAAGTTCGTAAGCAGCTTAAAAATGCTCGAAATGAAAAAAAAATCTTAAACTTAACTCGATTGAAGCTTTAAACTCAAACTCGAACATGAACCTTAAATACATAAAAATCTTACTGTATTTAAAAAAAATATAATATTAATATTATTAATAATTTATTTTTAAAAAAAATAAATCTTAATATATTATATTTTCAAGCTGCTCACGAGTTTTACGAGTCGAATATCGAGTAGCTCATTTCGACTCGTTAAGAACTCGAATTGAGCTCGAGCTCAAGTCGAATCTATTCGATCCAAATATTTATCAAATCTTAATCGAATCGATCTCGAGTAGCTACTATTTATGTCGTCTCACTTCCCGCCCTAATGTCAGTGTCCAATCCATTAAAAATGATAAGCAATTGCCTGAAAAATGTATTATTTTACTGACATACACGTGGCGAAAGGTCGTGAGCGAGTTCCTCTATTTTTATACTGGATAAACAACACCATTGGGTCACCAAATATTATCATATTTATGTTTTAATCACTAAATTATTTTTTAGTATTTCAATTTAAGGTTTCAAATCACGGTTCGAAAATGTGATAACACCCGCAAAATAGCGGTTTCGCCACCGTCCGAGTCACCCCTACACCCGCAATAGCGCCCGCAACGACCACAATCACGAAAAAACCCGAAATGATTGAAAATGCGACCGCGACCGCAATTTAAAACCCTATTTCGATCATTAATTTTATATTGAAAAAAATATAAATAGTCATTGATTATATAATATTATTTTATTGAATCATTTGACTATTAAAAATTACAAAATAATTTTTCAACTATCGAAAATTTCGTTGTTGAGTCCTTCAACTATTTACGTAAAATATATTATGTACTTTACCTCTTATATTTATTTTAATCATTAATTGTTAAACTTTTTTTATTTATATAGGTAACTATAAGACAATATATATTTAAAGATAACTATTAATCTCTTAACATTAAACTCTTACACCTCTAATATTCTCAGTATTTGAATATGAGTCCTCAAGTAAGAACAACAATTCCTTTGCCACAAATATCACTTTATTCGTGCTTAATTATTTAATTTTAATGAATATTATAACGTTATTTAATATAATAATTTTAAATTTTCAAAGTTTATATAATTCCAAATATTTATCAATTATTTTAATTAATCTTTATTGTTTGTAAATTTTATAATATGAATATATAAATTTTCATTATCACGAATATTTTTAAATCTCACTAAATATATCAATAACACCACATACCGCATACGTGGTACAATGATGTCACTACCAAACAAAGTACTAACAAACACCACCGAGATGCAAAACCAGGAGTTTACATTACGTGGAACCAAAACTCAAGCTCTTGTCGGAAGAATCCCCCCACCTCATCATTATGTATTCACTGCATGAAAGAAAGCTCCACGTATCTTTTCTTTTTCATGCAAATTATATTTTATATATATATATATACACACACTCCCTCTGTAAGTAAAATGTATCACAAAATTAATAATGGCGAAACCCACACTATTAGCAGCTTCCTTAGTGATTGCACTTTATATGGTTGCCGTTGCAGCAGCTGCTCCCCACTCCTCCACTCCGGGTGGCGAGTACTCCGAACACGCAAGAACCAAAGGCCTGAACCGTTGCGAGAAATTCTTGAGGGAGAGCTGCCGGAGAGTGAGGGATGACAGCTGCCGTCAGCGGCTGCAGTTATGCTGCGGGGAATTAGAGCGAATTGAGGCGCGACGGCGGTGCACGTTGGTAAGACAGCTGGTGAAGAGACAGCTGGACGATTTCAGTGGTAAAGGAATGCGAGAGATGTTGCAGAAGGCTCGAAACTTACCGGCTCTGTGCCGCATGGGAATCGGCCGCTGTGACATTCGAGTTCCGGTTCCACAGTCTTGGTTTACTAATTATGGCCCTGTGATTGAATCCTAATGTTTTTGGATTACCTCTTCCTGTCTTGTTTATCCGGTTTCTCCTCGGATTTTGATTGCAATATCACAGTTGCAGTTTCAATAGTATTTTGATTCCAATACCTTCTAATATACAAAAATAATCCTTATAATGTGTGTGTATACATATATATATATATATTCCTATTGTATCATTGAGCTTGGACCCTTTCCTTGAGTGGATCACATTTCTTTTGTTTTTTAATCACAAGTTACTAGACCAATCATAATCCTGATAAACAACGTTAATCTGGCCATCATCATCGGCCAAAAGATGTTCCAGAAGCCTTGACTGCGTTGAATCCAAGTAATTCATTACCCATTTTAGGGTTTCTCTCTGTCGTCCAAAATCTTCGTTATACCTGCAATATATATATATATATATATATATATATATATATATATAGAGAGAGAGAGAGAGAGAGAGAGAGAGAGAGAGAGAGATCCTGCTCAAGAACTTGTTGCATGACTCATTTGGTGGAAGAAAAAAATACAAAAAGAGAACTATTTGATGATTCGAGTTAAATAAATGGTCCTGGAGTTCATATTAAACCGTATCGCTCCTCTCTGGAAATACTCCTTGGCAGCACATACCAACTCATTTTCAACGCCGTCAGCTGTGTAAAACCTCACCGCCGGGCTTGATCTCGTCCCATTGCATAACCCAAAATGTTATACTCGGGTTAGATTCGGGTGGGTCAAAAACTTGGCCTGTACAACCCATGACCACCCTTATCTTAGATCCTCTCAATTTTCTTTCTCGATTTAATTCTCTATTAAACTAATTGTATCGCAAAATTTCTGAACAAGATCCAAACATTTGAACGATAGATTAGATATCACGGTCTATAAAAAAGTTAATGAAAGTATATAAAGAATAGGAAAAAGAATAAGAAAACCTGCGGAATTCTTCACTTTTATTGATGCCATTATAATTAACATGCAGCCTATTATCCGATGCATAAGCTTCCAGAACGGCGAACATCAACTTGGAAACCAGCCGGCAAGAAAAGATGCCGATTTGGGCTCACAATCGTGGCTCGAAACTCGAAAATTGAAGCATCCCACTATAAATGACTCGTGTTATGGGAATCTATACAAGTGATCTCCTTCTTCAAACTCGTTCTCTGCACCAAAATCAAACAAAATAAGTAATTATATACTAATCTATTTTTTTAAAGAATAAATTAAATAATCGATCAAATCGAATAATATTCAGTGGATTATGCTTAAATTATAGGGTAAAGTATATAAATAGTCCTCAAACTTTTAGAACACTTACATTTTGGTCACCAAGCTTTTAAAACATATAATACAGTCATCGATTTTTTAACAGGGTACAGTGGATTATGGTTAGATTATATGGTAAAGTTTGATGACTGTATTGTAAGTTTCAAAAGTTGAATGACCAAAATACAAATACCTTAAGAGTTCCGGGACTATTATTTACTTTATCCTAAATTATATGCTCAATTGGGTTACTGTTTGTGATGACTTTCTTACTCGAAAACATGGTGGAAGAAGTGCTTATGTCCCATATGCTTTGCACTCATAATGCCCTGTATAATTTATAAAAGGACGAAAAACATGTAAATAATAAAGTGAATATATGTTTTTCATATATTATAATTATATTTTGATTTTTTTACCATTTACCTAAAGGATTATTATCTCATACAATAATAATAAAAAGATCTAAAAATAAATTATATCGATGTCGTCTATCTAATTTAAAATTTATGATTATAAGTTTTATAACTTAGGATTTGAAGTCTAAGTCATCTAGGGATGGCAAAAAAACCCGAACCCGACGGGAAAAATTGAAAATCGAATTAAACGGGTCGGGTTCGGAGATGATAAATGGGGACGGGGACGGGGACGGGGACGGGTTTGGTAATCCCCGCCCCGATTACCCGATTACCCGCCCCGATTACCCGCCCGATACCCGACCCGATAAATATTAAAAATAATTATTTATATATATATATATAATATTAATAAATTTAATTTAAATAAAAAATATATATTTATATATTTAATTTAAATATATATATATATATATATACCCGGCCCGATTCTCGGCCCAATACCCTACCCAATACCCGGCCCAATACCCGTTTAAATAACCGTTTATGCTAAACGGGGATACCCGTTGCCCCGCGGTTTTCCCCGATTACCCGACGGGGATCCCCATTTAAATCTCCGCGGTTTTTTAAACGGGGACGGGTACCGGTTTTTTAAATGGGGACGGGGATGGGGGACCAATACCCGGCCCGAACCCGGCCCGTTGCCATCCCTAAAGTCATCATTCAAATATGAAGGTTGTGCGACTAAATTATTTTTTATATATCAAATATCTTTTATATGTATATTGATTTTCTTAACTTCTATAATTATAATATAAATTCTTATAAACTTTTTAATAACTTTGCTTAGTTTTTAAAAATATTTAAAAAAAATATTAAAATGAAATTTTAGTTATAATTGAGAGGCTAAATAATATCCCATAATATATAATTCAATCAAAATCAAAACAATTTTATTATTAAAATCAAAATAATCAAATCGAATTTTTTTTACACCGCCGTCACTTGATCCAACAAAACCACCATAAATAATCTGTTATCAATTTATAGTCAGGCAAACTTTTATTTAATTGAAAATTTTATTTATATTAATAATTAAAAATGAAAATAAAAATATAAAAAATTAACCAAATAAACCACAAGGTTTTTAAGCCTAAGAAATGAAATCAATGTACTCAAATGAGAAAGAATCCATTGTTTGAAGTTTATGCCTAATAGGCCCATCTAAAAGTTATTGGGTATAAAAGAAGGACATAAGAAAACACAATAGGACCTAAAGATTATATTGGAGTAATAATGTTTTAGGGGTAAACTATCGAAATTGACATTTTATTTCATAAGTTTTCACCTTTGGTCACTAAATTTAAGAAAATAACGTTTTAATCATTTATATTATCGTTTTATAACATTTTGGTTATTGGGGGTGTTAAACGACATTAGTTTGATGACATAAGATGTTAGAAAATGGAGTTAATATTAGTTTTATCTATGACCTTTAGATAAAATGCTAATTTAATCCTTAAATTTTAGATAAAAATAATAATTTGACACTTAAACTTTGTATAAAGTATCAGTTTGATGCTTAAACTTTAGATAAAATATCAATTTTACGTTTAAAATTTAGATAAAATATCAATTTTCCTGCCACTATTTGTTGCTCATAATCGTCATCGATCACTACTGATCATCGTCAATAAATTAGGGATACTTCTAGTAAGAGCTAGAAATGACATGATATATATATGTGTGTGTATATATATATAAGGATTTCATTTCTCTATCACAAATAATAGGGATTGATTAACTTACGATTACATTGTAAAAAGTAAAATTGAGTGACTTGATTGATGCAATTTCAATAATTAAATGATCCGATTGATCAAATTAAAAGATCAATAATAGTATTAAAACTCTCATATAGTTTTTTTTTATTAATTTGGGATAAGTACAAAGTATATGTTTAAAGATACCTCATAGAATAACAATAATCCTTTTATTACTGAAGTCTCTTTTCTTTTTTTAAAAAACTAAGGTGATTATAAGTAGTATATGTTTTAAATAATCTCAACCATTTGACGTGAAATCTTAATCACTTTGATGCAGTTGTTGGTGTTCAAAATCATGACCTTTATGAATAAAAATAATTCTTTTAACCACGAAGGTAAATTGGTTAGTGCAAATGAGTTTTGTTTTAATATATAGTTGTGAGGTTAACTTTCTGTAAAAGTTGTGATAATGAAAATGACAAATTAGAATAATGTTTAATGATATGGTTTTATAGTGGCAACTTAAAATTTATTTATAAAATAATATAAGGACCTGAAAAGTTAAATTAATTAACAAATCAAAAGTTTTAGGTTTCATTTTATATTAATAAAAGATCAAATGATCATCGGATTCATATATATATATACCCATAAACAATCTTTGTAGTGGATGTACTCATAATTTCATTGGACTAAGTTGATGGGGGAGAAAAAAAGGAGTTTTAATATTCTATTAAAGATAAATTATAGTTTTTCAACTTTTAAGATATTTTTATTTTGATAATCAAAATAAAAAAAATATTGGAGTTAATATAGTTAAAGAAAATTTTCATTTCAATCACTTAATTAATAAACCATTAATGATCGTTAATGTGAAATGGTAAAAAAATTCTAAAATTTATGGCAATGATCACTTATTATTCCGCCACTATTTTTATTACCGTTCGAAGGTTTATATGATCTAAAAAACATCGAATTACTCAAATTCTTCTTTTTCTTTCTTTCAGTGGAAACTCGAAAAACCTTCTAATCATCTTAAATTTCAATCAAAACAAAAAGTTAATACTTTCCGTTCCTCCACTTTCAATCGTCGAATGAACTTGAAATTAAACTATGTTAATCTTCTGGTAAAATAGAACCTTTTTACTATTGAAATTAACCGACGTTCCATTCATAAAATATGTAGTCTTTATGGAGGTTGCCAATTTAAAACTTTAGGTTTTTTTTAGATGAAAGCTTTAAGTGTCATATTAATTTTTCTTAATGATAACTCACGACAATGAACATGATGAAAACAATTTCAATGTAAGTTTTAAAAATTCAATGACCAAAATAAAAGAACGTTGAAAGTTTAGTGACCATCATAATAATTTATCCTTTATTTAAAAATACAAACTCAAATGCTTTTAAAAGCAAAAGTAATTGGATAGTTGGAAAATATAAATTACAATCTAATAATTTTATTTCGTCTCTTCTAAAAATAAAAGGGATAAAACTATGACGACTACCAATTGGTATAATGAAATGAATTTAAAAATATTTAAGTAAAATTAATAGTTCAAAATTTGATATTAGGAAGAGGGAAAATGAATTAAAAGGTTTGTATCATAATAAACTTTTACGATATTTAA